CAAGATTCCTGGTGAGGATTTCTCTGAGGCTTTGGCAGGACTCCAGAAAAGGTGTGACTGATTCTTACTCCTGGGTTGACAGCACCCTGCTGTTTCTCTCAGCAAGAGCCTACCACACACCCAGCCTCCTGAAAAGGGTATGAAGAATTCAAGGAGAATCTTATTAAATTTAAGGAAGACACAGTACCAATCTTAAACTAACTCTTTCAGAAAATAGAGGAAAAAAAGGAAAATTTCCCCATTACTGTATAAAGTCAATGTTATCCTGATACCAAGCCTGGCAAAAATATTACAAGGAAACAAAGTTTTGACAACCATCCTTAACAAAATATCAGCAAAGTATTTCAGAAACATGTGACAAGGAGAGGCTCATAATCAAGTGGCCTCTGTGAACAGGAATACAAGTTAAGGTCTAAAAATCAAACATTTTTTTAGCCATGCCATACAGGTTGTAGGACTTTATAGTTTCCCGACCAGGGATTGAAACTGGGACCTCAGCTTTGAGAGCATGGAGTCTTAACCACTAAACTGCCAGGAATTCCCCAGAAAGAAACATTTAAAATGATCAAATAAAGGAGGTGGGAAATAGTCATTTCAATAGATTCAGAAAAATCACTGGATAAACTTTCATCACCCATTCACAATTAAAAAACAAACAACAACAACAAAAACATTCAGCTAACTTAGAATAGAGGGAAATTTTCCCCATGGGATAAAGGAAGGACATTTATGAACATCCTCAAGCTAGCATCACTTTAATGGTGAAATATGGAAAAACAACCTCAAGATTGAAAACTAGACAAAGGCATCCATTCTCACACTGATTCAACACTGTAGTTGAGTAAGTACATCAAGAAAAAGAGAAACTAGGCATGACAACTGGAACAGGAGCAAAACTCTATTCAGAGTTAACATGAATTTTTACATTAAAAAAACCAAAAGAAATTTTTTTTTTAACTGCTAGGTCTAATAAATTCATTTTAGGGTAGAAGGTCAATGTACAAAAATCAATTTATGTTCGTATATTTTTGCAAGAAAGAAAACTGGAATATGAAAGAGTCAATAAGGTTAATTGGCAACTCTTTCCAAAACAGCTTATAAAACTTACTTAACTCAATCCCAACCATTATCCTATAGAAATGAACAAATTTATTCTAAAATTTTTATGCTGCTACAAAATTTGAAGTAGTCAAACATGTCTTAGGATAAGAAAGCAGTGAATTAAAAGGGAAAAAAAAGACATGTTGCTCTTTATTAAAAACTTTCATTCATCAAGATACCAGCAACAAAATGAGTGAACAAGTCAAAGAGTATCAGAAAATATTCATAAGCTATTGGTATATATCTGAGAAAGGTCTTTTATCTAGGATATATAAAGAATTATCAGAACTCAGAAATAAAAAATCCAATGAAACAGAAAATAAACAAAAGACTTGAAAAGATACTTCATAAAGAAAGAAATACCAAAAACATAAACTTATTAAAATATGTTCAACATCATTACTCTCCAGGGAAATGCTAATTAAAACACAATGAGATACCCCTCACACCTCTTATTAGAAATGGCAAAAATTTTAAAGATCAAAAATACCAAATGTTGATGAAGACATACAAAACCAGACTCCTTTTGCTGGGGAGAACATGTCTTCTAGCAATTCCATTCCCAGTATCTCTCCAAGAAAAAACAGTCTATGTTCAGAAAAAGACTTGCACATAAAGGATCACAGCAGCTTAATCTACCACGGCCGAAAGCTAGAAACGACTCGAGGGCCAGCAACCAGAGAATGGGTAAACACATTGTGGCATATCCATACAATGGAACAATAAAAAGGAATAAGTTCTGATACAAGCATTGGCTTAGAAGACCATCACAGAAATCATGCTGAGTGAAAGAAACCAAACATAAAAGACTATCTTTTTTTTTCTAGATTCCATACATATATGTTAATATATTTGCTTTTCTTTCTTACTTCACTCTGTATCAATTCAACTAATTTAAATTCATTCCTTTTTATGGATGGGTAATATTCCACTGTAGGGGCTTCCCAGGTGGCTCAGTGGGAAAAGAATCTGCCTGCCAATGCAGGAGATGCAGGAGACACAGGTTTGATTCCTGGGTTGGGAAGATCCCCTGAAGAATGAAATGGCAACCCACCCTAGTACTCTTGCCTGGAGAATCCCACGGACAGGAGTCTGCCAGGCTCTAGTCCATGGGGTCACAAGGTATCAGACGTGACTGAGCAACTGAGCATGTAGCACACGGTGCAGTAATATTCCATTATATGTATGTTCCACAACTTCCTTATCCATTCATCTGCCAAAGGACATCTAGGTTGCTTCCCTGTCCTAGCTACTTTAAAGTGTTGCAATGAACACTGGGGTACATGTGTCTTGATGAACTTATTTGCAGGGTAGGAATAGAGACACAGCTGGGGAGGAGAGGGTGGGATGAACTGAGAAAGTATCATTGAAAAACATACATTACCATATGGAAAATAGCTAGCTAGTGGGAAGTTGCTATATAACACAGGGAGCTCAGACTGGCACTCTCTGACAACCTAGAGTGGAGAGATGGGGAGGGGGGCCCAAGATGAAGAGGATACATGTATACTTAGAGCTGATTCATGTTGTACAGCAGAAATCAACACAACATTGTAAAGCAATTATTCTCCATTAAAAAAAAAATACATACTATAGCCATCCTTTCATATACATTTCTACAGCAGACAAAAACTAATTTTAAGATGAAGAAAAATACAGATTATCTATTGGGAGAACAGGATGGAACTTTCTCATATGAAGGAAATGTTGTATATCCTCATTAGGGGGTGGTTACATACCTTTGTCCATTTGTTAAATATGCACAGCTAAGATTCATGCATTTCAGCAAATATAAATTTTACCCTGACAAAACACCTATCACAATAAAAACACTGGCAAGAATGGGTTGGAGGTAGACATTATACAGTAATAGCAAAATGTTGGTCATTGTCATAGCTGGGTGATGGGTACACAGTTCATTATATTACCACAATCATTTGTAAATGTTTGAAAGTTTCTGTAATAAAAGTTTTTAAAATGCACTGGGGTCATGAGTTAAAACTTTTACCTTTTGCTTGTAAATATGAAATCAGAAAAACCAGAACCAAATATCCTGCTCAGGTATGTTTGAGTTGCTCAGAGCAGTAGTTGTAGGAGGGGAGAGAAGTGAGAGATGAGGGGTGGGTGACTTCTCAAGATGCTGCAGGGGTTGGAGAGGGGAGATGGAAAGCAAAGACGAAGGCAAGTAGAAAGGGAAGATGGCAGGTGGGAGAGAGAAGGGGTCAAGAGGGCACTGAACTTCCCGGGATAGGACCAGAGGTGTGAGAGAGGGGTCATCTTGGGATGGGTGTTTGCGGGACAGAACAGGGGGCTGAGCCTGGAATCTGGGACCCTCAAAAGGATGTTGAGGTCGCTGGCCTCTCACCTGGATTGTGTACTTGTCACAAAGCCTCAGACAAAAGGAGAACTTGTCTGCCCTGGAGGGACCTTGGAGATGCCAATCAGAGAGACTGGAAGGGACTTCCTCCCTGGCCACCATGTCAGCTGGGCTGCCCTGAGCACAAGCAGGAGGCAAGTTCAAGAATTTATGGAATGAAAAAATAATAAAAAAATAAAATAAACCCCCCACAAAAGTTTTATGAAGCGACATCAAGCCCTGGTAGAGCCCACCTTCACATATGCATAATGTATATTCTACCCAGGTAGCCTGTGGGATGGGAGTCATGAGCTCCACTTTCAAGATGAGGAAACAACTGAACAGGAACTAGAGTCTACTTGACCCAAAGCCCATCTAGACATGGTCCTTGGCCCAGGCAGAATACTTGGGCTGGATCTATCTCCCAACACCTGCTCTCTGCACCCTCAGCAGCCTATGGAAAGTGATGGGACACATATTTTCCCAGTATTCCAAACATCCTCCAGCCCCTCTCGGGATCACTTCCCCAGGCCCCTCCCCAAAACAAGCTCTTTCCTGCCCCCTGCCTTTGCCGGAGTATGTGTCCTCCTTTTTGCATGGCTGGTACCTTCCCGGCCCTTAAGTACCTACTCATCACTCCTCCTCGGAAAGGCCTCCCCAAACAGCCTTCTTGAAGGTCTTCTTCTATTATTATTTCCAGAAGCTCTTGTTTCCTTCAGGGCAGCTACACAATGTGAGAATATTTTCTTGCTTCTCCACTGGAATTGCTTGTTAACAAGCTCCCTTTCAAACAAGAGGATGGCTAACTGCTCTCTCAAAGTGAAATGTCTGAAACCTCAAGCAAAGAAATGTAGGCTCTGGGTGGGGAAGGAAACAGCCCTCTGCAGAACCACAGAAAAACAAAGCATTATTGAAGACTCTCCACTTCCCAGTTAGGCAAAAACTGAAACTTGGATGAGCTCCTGCCTATAATCCCAGTGATAAAGATGGTGGCACTGGCAAAAATTAGGTTGCCTTATCACGTGCCAAGGATTTCATATATTTATCTCCAATCCTCAAAACTATCCTGTAAGATGAAGACTATTATATATGTTGATATGAAAAACTTGTAATTCAGAGAAACTTAGTCACTCTGTATCTATGATAAATGCCAAACTGAAATGTTTATACTCATTCTCTCAAAAGTTTTAGTTAGAAAGTCCTCTACAGAACCCAATGAAAGACACACACAGGCACACAGGCATACATGTGCACACACAGCCTCCTCCAACTCTCCCCCTCTCCCCATGCCCACGGTAGAACAATAAAAAGTCTAAAACTGTATTCAAATCAAGTGGTAGATTTATTGGCTGCTTCTCTTATTTAGTGAGGTGAAAACACCTCAGTGTGGGACATTCTAAACCTTGTTTTGGCTTCCTGTTGTGCTGAAAAGACCAGCGACAGGTGGACGGGCGGACGGTCAGTGGACATCAGAAGCAAACAGCCACCGCTCCCATTGCTACAATGATTCATCCATAGGCTTAAGGAATTTTCTGTCTTTCTTTCAGAGCATCTTCCTCTTTTCAAACTCCTTCAGGAACAGAGGAACAGGAGAAGGGAGAGGGGATAAAAAAATTAAAGCCTCAAATTACATTCATGGTTAAAGTGATTCTGAAACCTCCTGTCTTTAGGATCTCTTGAGCAACCAAAAATTATAGAGGTAAAATGTACCAGGATGAGGTGCTTGAACACAAAATGACAGCTTTCAAATGAGTCCGTGTCAGTCTGATTTCACTAAGCTAGATTCAGAACTTAAGACTTTATGTCTCCTAAATGCAGAGGCTGAGAGGTTTGGAATTATGCTTATTTTCTACTGCAGTATTATAGTTAGGAGCTGACAAACTTGATTGTGCTTATCCAAACATGCAATGCTATCTGTGAGCCACAACAGCCCTTTTAATAAGGCAACGGAAACAAGTTTGTTTAGTGTCTCAGAGAATAAAACACAGATTCAGTTCAGATTTAAACAAAACGTCAAGAACCTCAGAAATATATGAAAAGGCAACAATACTGAAAATCAGTTTCTCTACATTGTAATAATTTCTCTACATTGTGATAATTAGAATACAACAGGATGTGTAGGTGCCTGCTGCCACCTACTGGAGTAAAATGGTAATACATGCCTTCAATAAGAATTTAAGCATTTGCTTTTTCCCTTCCTCAGTCTTCTCTCAAATAAAGAAGATTCTTCCTCACAACACTCACTAACTACCCAGATTTCTTTTAAACACTATGGCACACAGTGGCATATTCCATACAACAGGATCATGCAAATATTCAATAAACCAAGGAGTTTATTTTATTATCTCTAGGACAGTGCCAAAGAAAGAGTATGCCAAAACATGTTCCCTCCTGGGAAGACTATCTGGGCCTGTTTTCAGCATGTGTACAAAATTTTGGGGGTTTTTTGCTTTTTTTTTTTTATAATGTCTATGATCATCATAAAAGTAAAGAGAGAGAGAGTCTTAAATGATCAATCAAAGAGATAGACTGCCAAAAATCACTGCAAAGAGATTATGGAAGACACCAACTAAATATCCCCATCCTTGTCTTTAGTCTCCATCCATCCCGACTCCCAGTTTTTATTTCTTCTTAGTCAGTTTTCAACCTCTCTCCCTGGAAAAATACCTATGGAGTCAGCAAAACTATACCCCCATGGAAAAAGACAAAACACAAGGCAATTTTCTGCACCACTCCTAAAATGGAATTCACAGCACTTAAGGACTTTGAAACCCTTTCTTGTAAATCCTATCTCACTACTCACAAAACAGCAAAGTGAAATGTTTCATGAATCAAGTTTTTTAATCAGAACATTATTCCTGGTCATGCCCAATTAGGATATTAGGATCTTGGTGGGGTTGCTACAGACCGTTAAGCTGCAGACCAGAATGAAAGAAACAGAGGAGACTCAAGAAAAGACCACAGTTCCCAGGCCACCCGTGTGGCCTCCCACTTTAAGGCCCATGACCTCCGAGCATTCAGGCCACTGCTCCAGCTCACCTTGTAGATGGTGGTTCCCAGCTGTGCCGGGGACATGCTGACCACAACCCCAGCACTCTGCAGGGCTGCGATCTTCTCTTTAGCTCCACCTTTTCCTCCAGCAATGATTGCCCCTGCGTGACCCATTCTTCTGCCGGGAGGAGCAGTTAAACCAGCAATGAAGGACACCACAGGCTTGGCCTTGGGACCCTGGAAAGTGGGATTTTAAACACACCGATGAAGAAGTTGATCAAAACTGGACCTCCAACTCATGACTGCCAGAAAATGGCAAGTGGTTGGGGCCAGTCACTCGTCATCACTAAGAAAACCAACAGAAATACTGAGCTGTGACTGAAACTACTGCATTCTCCTTTGAGATGACTCAACTTTTCCTCCAAACTCACAAAAACAATCCTGAAGCAAAACTGTTAACTATTTAGATATTAAACTTCAACTTCACTGGCATAAGCTGATTTCCACATACACAGGTGACTCTTTCATTTGAAAAAAAAAAATTGAAAATATGTAAGTTATAGGATTTGTGATGATAACAAATTAAGACCCATATCAGGCTGTTTTGTCTTAATTCATTACTAGCTTACCTTTAATAAATTTGTTAATAAAGAGAAAGATAGCATATTGGAAAGGACTGAAGAGTGGGAGTCTCCAGGATCAATTTCCACTTGACTAAAGCGACAGGACCTTAGACAAGGCCCATCACCTCTAGATCTCTGCTGCCTCATCTACGAAACGAAATCGCTAAATTAGATTGGAAGCTGAGGGTCCTTTCTTCTGACATTATAGGATGTCTAAGAAGGAAGATCAGGACTGGTTTTATTCAATAAAAATCCATTCTAATGCACAACTGCTACATGCATAAACAGCACAGCATAACAGTAGATTCTGAGAATAAAAATAAAAACCCAACACACAGGAAATATAAGAATTCCTGTGGGAGGAAAAAGAAGTATTCCTGTGCTCTAGACTTATAATGTTGTTGAAGAAATAATATTATATATATATATATATATCAATCATTTAATAGATGTCATGGAGCAACATATGAATATACAGTTATGTTTCACAGTGAGTGAAAAAACCATGTTCACAATAGTAATTCAGAGGCAATAAGATATCCAGGTAAAACAGAGTTGCCTACAGAAAGCAGAACCTGAGCACAAGTGGAATCTGGGTGCCTTCAGGCACTATTATCTTCTCCCAGACCAGCAGTTCTCAAATCATTTGGTCTTGACACCGCTTATACTTACAAAAATGACTGTGAATCCCAAAGAACTTTTTTTAATGTAGATTATATCAGATATTTACAGTATTAGAAATTAAAGCTGAGAAATTTTATAAATATTTATTAATTCTCTTAAAATAGTAATTTTTTAAAACTATTTTTAAAAAAACATTTAAGTGAGGAGAGTGGCATTATTTTACATTTTTGTCAATCTTAAGTGTCTAATTTAATAAGAGGCAAAAGGATTCTGATACCTGCTTTTTGTTAGATCTACTGCAAAAATGTTATTTTGGCTGAAGTACAAGAGAAAATCTAGCCTCACACACATATGTACTTGAAAAAGGCAGAAATATTTTAATATCTGTCAGATAACTGAGGATATTCTTTGACACTGAAACGAACCTCTTCAAGTGGTAATTTCTTAAAGGTTATATGCAATGTTCCCTGGAGAAGGAAATGGAAACTCACTCCAGTGTTCTTGCCTGGGAAATACCATGGACAGAGAAGCCTAGTGGGCTGCATAGTCCATGAGGTCACAAAGAGTCAGACACAACTGAATGACTAAAGATGATGATGCAATGCTGGAATATGGAACCACAGTCCTTTGTTACTTTAAAATCCATTCATCTTTTTGGATCTTTTACCTATCATGATTTGGTAACATTCGTTGGTCGGAAGGAAAATATAGGTTCACTGAGTTACGGAGACCTTCTAAGTGCTGATAATATTTCATCATTCAATATCAACAAATCATTCTTCATTACCACCTTCAGCCTCAGTAGAGAAGTCTTTAGTAGGGGGAAGTTGTCAAGTCCATGGTAGCAGAAACAAGTATTCTAAGAATATTCATTTGAAAGCTCAAACTTAATGATTGTCAACAAATGAAATGAGTTGTTTTCCTTGACAATACACACAAACACAGCAGGACTGCTTTGTTCATTGTTGAAAAAAGATTCACCAAATAAATACCCAAAAACCAGTGTTCCTGGCAGTCACTCTTTCCAGTAAAACTGGTGGTCCATAAAAAAAACACAACTAATTTAGCTCACGATTCAACTAGGACAGTGCTTTACTTTCCATTTCACCACAAAACTACTGACTTGAGGGTCAAGACTTTATAAAATTAGTAATCTTTACTACTTCATTAAGGACATTCTTAAATAAAATTGACTTCTTTTAAGTGCGTGGCAGTGCAAGTTCACTAGCACAGTTTGCTTCCACTAACTTGACTCTCGTGAAGGCACCAGCATGCCAGATTCTACAGGTTCTACATGCTCTGACACTGCTGACTCCAGCCTCATCCTCATCCCTCTTCCCTGCTCTTTCAGTTCAGTCGCTCAGTCGTGTCTGACTCTTTGCGACCCCATGAACCGCAGCACGCCAGGCCTCCCTGTCCATCACCAACTCCCGGAGTTCATCCAAACCCATGTCCAATGAGCCAGTGATGCCATCTAGCCATTTCATCCTCTGCTGTCCCCTTCTCCTCCTGCCCTCAAACTTTCCCAGCATCAGAGTCTTTTCAAATGAGTTAGCTCTTCCCATCAGATTCAATTTCAACATCAGTCCTTCCAATGCACTCAGGACTGATCTCCTTTAGGATGGACTGGTTGGGCCTCCTTGCAGTCCAAGGGACTCTCAGGAGTCTTCTCCAACACCACAGTTCAAAGCATCAATTCTTCCACATTCAGCTTTCTTTAAAGTCCAACTCTCACATCTATACATGACTACTGGAAAAACCATAGCCTTGACTAGACAGACCTTTGTTGGCAAAGTAATGTCTCTGCTTTTTAATATGCTATCTAGGTTGGTCATATCTTTTCTTCCAAGGAGTAAGAGTCTTTTAATTTCATGGCTGCAGTCACCATCTGCAGTGATTTTGGAGCCCCCCCCAAAATAAAGTCAGCCACTGTTTCCCCATTTATTTGCCATGAAGTGATGGGACCGGATGCCATGATCTTAGTTTTCTGAATGTTGAGCTTTAAGCCAACTTTTCCACTCTCCTCTCACTTTCATCAAGAGGCTCTTTAGTTCTTCACTTTCTGCCATAAGGGTGGTGTCATCTGCATATCTGAGGTTATTGACATTTCTCCCAGCAATCTTGATTCCAGCTTGTGCTTCTTCCAGCCCAGCGTTTCACATGATGTACTCTGCATAGAAGTTAAACAAGCAGGGTGACAGTATATAGCCTTGACGTACTCCTTTTCCTATTTGGAACCAGTCTGTTGTTCCATGTCCAGTTCTAACTGTTGTTTCCTGACCTGCATACAGGTTTCTCAAGAGGTAGGTCAGGTGGTCTGGTATTCACATCTCTTTCAGAATTTTCCACAGTTTATTGTAATCCACACAGTGGAAGTCTTTGGCATAGTCAATAAAGCAGAAATAGATTTTTTTCTGGAACTCTCTTGCTTTTTCAATGATCCAGCAGATGTTGGCAATTTGATCTCTGGTTCCTCTGCCTTTTCTAAAACCAGCTTGAACATCTGAAAGTTCAAGGTTCACGTATTGCTGAAGCCTGGCTCGGAGAATTTTGAGCATTACTTTACTAGCGTGTGAGATGAATGCAATTGTGCGGCAGTTTGAGCATTCTTTGGCATTGCCTTTCTTAGGGATTGGAATGAAAACTGACTTTTTCCAGTCCTGTGGCCACTGCTGAGTTTTCCCAATTTGCTGACATATTGAGTGCAGCACTTTCACAGCATCATCTTTCAGGATTTGGAATAGCTTAACTGGAATTCTATCACCTCCGCTAGCTTTGTTTGTAGTGATGCTTCCTAAGGCCCAGTTGACTTTGCATTTCAGGATGTCTGGCTCTAGGTGAGTGATCACACCATCGTGATTATCTGCTCTTTATCCTCCAGTAATGCCAGACTGCTCTCCCTCTGGGCCTCTGCTGAGAAAGTTCTCCATCCTCCTTGGATAGCTGGCAAATCTTGACTTACCTTTAAAGACGTGGCTCAAGCCTCTTCTTCCCTGCTAACCCTTCGGACTCTTCCTCCCACTCTCTCCACAAATTCCCTTCGGTTGCTCGTCTTCTGTTCAGTGACTCTGCTGTGCCTTTGATACTTTTCTATCATGACCCGCAGCACATTGGCTGTGACTTATTCCCCACATACTCCTCTCCTAAATGATGACTCTGAATGCTGAGACTATGTTTTCATTTACTTCTGTATGCCCAACATCTACTATAGGAGAGAATTAAAAAGAAAAAGCTAAATCATTTATTCACTGTGTGCTTTGCAAAGAATGTGAGCATCTGATATGTGAGTGGCACCACTTTCCGCTGGATCCCTCTGTCCCCATACTCAAACAGTGAGAATATTATATTAGAAGGAAACATGATTAGGGTGAACCTAGAATGTCTGACAAATGTATACTCCGTCCTGTTGTCAAAGAAGAGTCACTTGAGATTTTTTCCTTTAAGGACCGAAAAATACAATAGAAAAGACTATGAGGAAATGTAGTGTGAGAACAGGACACAGAAATGTGAAAGACTAAAAACAAAAAGATGAGTTAGGATGGCATGAGTGGAATCCAAATAGATGCCCAGGACTGTGGCATCATGTCCCTGAGCCCTGCGACCTGACTCCTGACCCCTGATGGTGTAATGGAGAAGTCAGGCACACCTGGAGGGAACCTCAGCTCTGAAGTACTTACCACTGGCAAGTTGCCAGTTTCCTGACTCAAAAAAGGACAAAAATATCTACTCAATGCATCAAGATAAAGGTTAAAAAAGATTACTCCTGCAGATAACTACTGTCATTATAATGATAATAATACAGTCCTCGCAGGACACAAGATTACGGAGTATTCACTCTGTGTCAGTTTCCATGCTAAGCGTTTAGTATGTCACCTGCACTGTTCAGCCTAGAAGCTTGTACACAGTAGGTCCTCGGTAAAATTTAGCTCCATGAGATCAATCAGTAATAGGAAAACATGGCAAATGAAAGAAAATGTAACATTTAGCTTTTCCCATCAAGGGATTCATGCATTCTAAACACATTTTAAAAATTCTCCGTTATCCACGAGGTCTGCATTGGAGAATTCAACCAACTGCACACAGAAAACATCTGGTGGGGCAGGGGAGGAATCCCAGAAAGTTTCAAAAACCAAAACTGCCAAACTAACAACTATGTACACAGCATTTACATTTTATTAGGTATTGTAGGTAATCCAGAGATGATTTACAGTACAGGTGGGTATATGAAGGTTAAATGCAAATTCTACACTCTTTTATATAAGAGACTTGAGCATCCACAGATTTTGGTGTCAGCAGGGGTACTGCCCATGGACAGCGAGGGATGACTATGTCATATTAACCTAAGTGGTTTTTTTTTTGTAAAATTAAGTCAGTTTTTAAATTTTAAACTTCACAACCTTTGTAAATTTGAGAGACTCACAACATTTTACTCTAGTCTCCTACCAATTTACCTACTCTTTCACTTATTCACCATTTACTGCCTCCTAATATGCTGGAGGCTGAGCTGGGCAGCAAGGCTATAGCAGTTGCTTGCTGTCCACAAGAGCAAGAGTCAGGTGTTCGGCATGCCTTGCAGAAGGAACAAGTGAAGGAAAGCAAGGATGAAAACAAGCAACACATGAGATGGGACATAGATCTGAAAAGGAACGTCAGGGTAGTATGTAGGCAGCTGGAAAGCCATGCTGTCTGCCCTTTAACCCACATGGATGGCAAACAGCAGGTAGGCAAGGCGGGAGGGAAAGGAGCAGAGACATCAGGAAAAAAATTACTCAGATGGTCCAGGTGAGATAAGAGAAGAGACTGAATCGGAGCAGAGGGACTAATTACAGATGATGATACTTTGAATCTCCACAAACTACTAAGATCTCGGGTAACTGAGGGGAAGCAAGAGCTGAGAGAGAAGTACAACGTTGTTTATACACCATGAACAGTTACACTTAGGGAATAAGCACAAAGGGTAAATCTGGGAAAGGATAAAGACGAGAAGGGCCAGGAGGATGAATGGAGGCTGCTGCTGACTTCAGCCAAAGCAGTGCCAGTGTGGACAGCAGACCCCACAGCAGCCCGCCAAAAGTGCTTACCACATGCCCGGGGCAGCTCTGTGCCATGTATCTCCACAGCCCTACGAGAGCACCGAGGGAAGCTCTACTGTACCCCTATTTAGCCAACGAGGAAACTGGGGCACAGTGAAGTTAAGGAACATGCCCAAGGTCACACAGCTTCTAATCGGCAGACAAAATCTAACCGCAGAGGATTAGGGAGTGAATAAAAAATAAAGAAAGAGATCCAGAGAGTAAAGGACGAGCATTAGTCGCTCTGCCATGCCTGGCTCTTTGCAACCCCATGGACTGTAGCCCGCTAGGCCTCTCTGCCCATGCAATTCTCCAGGCAGGAATACTGGAGTGGGTAGCCATTCCCTTCTCCGGGGGATCTTCCTGACCCAGGGATTGAACCCGGGTCTCCTGCACTACAGGCAGATTCTTTTCCATCTGAACCACCAGGAAAGTTCACCAGAATAAGAGGAACTCTTAAAATTACCACTGAAGAAAAACATGTATATTCAAAAGAGCCTTTGAAAATTCCTTCAATTACATATAAATATGGAGAAGGAAATGGCAACCTGCTCCAGTACTCTTGCCTGGAAAACTCCATAGACAAAGGAGCCTGGTGGGGGGCGGCTACAGTCCATGGGGTTGCAAAGAGTCAGACACTACTGAGAGACTAAACAACAGCAATACATAAACATGCATCGTTTTGCACAGGCTATTCTGCAGGTGATAGCATCTTTTCCTTTAACTCTCCGGTACTCATTATTTTTCTGTGGCATTTAATTTTGACACACTTACTCTCAATTTCTTTCACAAGCACAGACACAAGTTCTCTCTGCCCTCTTGCCTGGCCCCCTGAAGAGTCACCTTCACTCTTCACTCATTTGTCAGTGTCAGGGACACCCTGGAAACCATCTGCATGCTCTCCCCAGGCCCTGGCCACAGTAATTCAGAGCACGCACGCTCAGCAATGCGGGGAGGGGACTGTCGGGCACCAAGCTGCTTCTGTCTTTACCATGCCCCCCGCTCTCTTCCTACCACCCTCCTTCACCCCAGAAACAGAGCTAAATTCCCTTGAGTTAAATGAAACTATGACCCACCACCACACTATTCTTTTTTATTTAATTCAAAGGGAGAGGCAACAGGAAAGCCTTCATAGGACAGTCAATAAAGCTTTTCCACTTGACCTTTGAAGCAAAGTGCTACTCTATGAGGAAAGACTGAAGCTAGAGGGAGACAAGATCCTGGAAAAGGGTATAAAGGACAGGATCACTAGACAGCCAGCCTTGACAAAGAGAAAGAACATACATCCCCTGAAGTCAGGAGAAAGGACATCAATGACAGGTGAAAATGGAAATGTGCAGGTCAAGTGAGAGCTTTCAGGCTGATGGCCTGAAAGTTCTCCATTTAGCAGACGACCTACCAGGAAGTAAAAGGAGATGCCTGGAGGGAGGATTCATTAGAGAAGCCAAGAACAGGCACCAGGGGAAATGGGGAGGAGAATCAACCCAGAAAGAGTCCCACATTTCCTGAGTGGCCAGTGTTCCAGGCTCAGCTCAGTAAGATTTAATTTTACCTTTCATGTTTGCTTAAAAAATTCATCTTTAAACAAAAACAACTTCTAAAGCAAACCTGTGATATTATTCAAGAGCAAAGAGCTGTATCTTTCCACAGCCAAACTTACTGAATTATGTTGCTTCAAAAATTCGGCAGCATTTTCTTCGGCATTACCACCAATTTCACCAATCAATACGATGCCTTCTGTGGCCGGATCATTGAGAAAGATTTCAAGGCAGTCTGTAAAGTCTGTTCCATTGAAAGGATCGCCTCCAATGCCTGGAAAAGTCAAAGAATATCAACACCCTCTGAAAATTAAGTCAGGAAATATTGTTTCAACAGGTTTCTTATTTTGCCTACGCCCTTCTTACAAATATTTTTAAATGTGTTATCACTCTTGCATTGAGCATTTAAAAAATCATAAAATGCTAAACTTATTTCTGCTTATAATACTACATGAATGTTAAATGGTGGTTGGGTCTTGCTAGTCACAAAAAGAGCCATCTTTTTCTCTGTCTCCTTATCAAGACTCTTCCCCCTCCCAAAATTACTCCTACATAGCTCTTTAATAATAAGCATTCTATATAGTTTCCCTAATTAGAAGAACGTTACTTTTAAAAACACATTAGCGGCTAATTCATTTCAATGTATGACAAAAACTACTGCAATGATGTAAAGTAATTAGCCTCCAACTAATAAAAATAAATGGAAAAAAAAAAAGAGAAAACAAACAAAAAAAAACGGAAAAAAAAAACACATTAGCTTTTTCAGGAATACAGTTACTCTTTAGTAAGTTATAACTTTTAATCACTGACTTCTGGTGAGTAGCTCAGTATCAGTATTCTGTATATAATAGGTAATTAATTCTGAAATTAAAAATAATTATACTACTTAATATTATAATAAAAATAATTATACTACTTAATATTATAATCAAAAAGTTTCCTTTATCATCTCCTAGCACAAAAGGTTAATGAAGTATAATAGTATCTTGATTAGCTCATCTGGGGGGGTGTGTATGTGTGTCTGTATGCTATTACCCTCACCTGGTGTGTGGGAGTGGGTGTCTGTATGTTATTACCCTCACCTGGGGGGTGTGTGTGTGTCTGTATGCTATTACCCTCACCTGGTGTGTGGGAGTGGGTGTCTGTATGTTATTACCCTCACCTGGGGGGTGTGTGTGTGTCTGTATGCTATTACCCTCACCTGGTGTATGGGTGTGGGTGTCTGTATGTTATTACCCTCACTGTGGTAGTTTGTTGTGATTTGTTATTGCTCACATGAATCGCAAACCTTATTACCATACTGGAGACTTAATGCCATGTTAGAAATACTGGATATCTGTAATTCTTCTACAGTAAAAAAAGAAAAAATAAATAAATTTCTTTGCACTAAGTAACTGTCTGATGAGGGACACTGCAGAGGAACCACTCACAAGTTAAGACACATGTCCCTGCAGTGGGTGGGGTAGGTGTCCTGATCCCTCTTCCCTCCAACCTGGAGTGGGAGATGACAGAGACCACACACAGGGGGTCTACCACAAACACATGGCTTTTTAGCACAAGTACGTAGATGGGATTCAAGTCAAGATTCCCTCCACTGGGGGCCACTTTCTAAATTTTTAAGTTATAAACTTATTGAAGGCAGGATTGGCTTCCTACTCTTGAAGGCATGGCTCAAGAATGAAGCTGAGGAAGGGGAGCAGCATCAACTGAGTTCAAACCACGAGTCAGGTCTGTGCCTTAGCACACATCAGACCTGCCATTTCCTAATCATCATACTCTCTGTGAGAGAGGAATTACTACTCTCAATTTACAGATTAAAAACAGAGCTAGAGAAGATGGAACTTCCCACACTATTGAAAAACCTTTTATTTTCTATCATGTTAAGTTATCTTGTCTTAAAGATTGTGCTTTTACACATAGAAAAGCTTGTTTAATGTTTAATACTGATTTTATCAATTTGAGTCAATAAAAATACTCCAGGGTTATATTTCAAAAGTTTTTTTTATCATCAAAAGCTGCCTTTGGAAAGCTTTTAAAAGATGGTCTAAAAACATGAAGGAATTGCTATAAAAGTGACAAATTTGCCTGGCTTTTGGCAAAAAATATCAAAATTATTTTATTTTATTTTTTTCAAAATTATTTTAAAATGTAAAAACTCTTTTGTAAACGGGAGGCAGTATGATGGGGCGAAGAGCTCACCCTCCTCCATCTACCAATCAAGTGACCACAGGACTCAGTGCCAGCTCGGCAGGGCCTCACAGGGCTGCCTCTGCAGAGTGAGACGATGATTGGCAGAGAAGTCGGTGCCTGTGAAGCGCTGAGTGACAGCTGGCAATGATAACACAGTGCCAATTACAGTGACCAAAGTCCTGTCTTGAAGGACCACTGCTTCACAGCAACCAAAGTGAGTCCTGTTTTCAGGGACGAAGGCTCTCCAGGAGCCATACACCCCAGGACGTTTGTTCTGAAACGTGGGAGTTAAATCCTGGACTGTGAATCTTGAAAATGTAACAGCCAGCTTCGTGTATAAGCAAATTAAACTCAAGATCATAACATCTTTTTCATAAGATGACATCAAAATCTCTCACAAATAGTCAAACCAATAATTATTATTACACCTATTCAGTGAAGACACTGAACTCTGATAAAATGAGTTTAGAAAAAGTCCTCACCAACACACAAAGACTGCCCCAATCCAACTTGTGTTGTCTGGTGAACCGCTTCGTAAGTCAGGGTGCCGGATCTAGACACGATACCTTAAAGAAGGAGAACTCAGAAATATTAGAGAGTGCTCATGTGACTCTCACATAGTAAAATAAATCATAAACACATGTATATAAAGGACCCATCCCATAATTTGTCCTCCAAACAAACAACACCATCAGGTCATGGAATAAGGAGAAAAGGCATAAATTATAGCAGGGAGGTTTTAAAAGTTAGAAAAAGAAAGGATTTTATTAGTTAGGGTTTTTTTTTATATATAAAACATTTAATTTATTGGTTTTTTTGATGCATCACCAGTGTATTACAACTGAGCCACTAGTTTTGAAGCCTCATCAACATTAACTGTGGTACATTTTCATGACACTGCTGAGAAATCAACTGTTTCTTCAGAGATTCAATGGAAAGGCTTTTTGGGAAGTTTGCAAGTTCCTTCTGTATATCTACAAGAGTTTGATTCACTCTTTTAACTTTTTAATCATTCACAATGTTTATCTTCTTAAGATTAGTGGTAACTGGTTTCGCTTTATTTTTAACCCTAAAGTTTTTTTGGCTGGCTACGTGGAATACATTCCTGGACTTCTGCCCTCTTAGTTTGTTCCTGGCGGTTGTCCTTCACCGGGCCTCCAAGAAAGACCCTTGTGTGGCTTCTCAAGTTTCAAGTGATGCCATCTGTACGCACGCAATTCAGCTAGTTAGGGTTGTTTTATGACTACAAAAGCAGTTAAGAGATATCTGAAGTCTTCCACAAAAAATGACCTTCTAGTGCAAAGTAAAATGGAACAATAAATCTATATAAAGGTCCATATGGAAAAAAAGAAAGCATAAATTTCAAGTATTAACCTTTGGTTAATAACCCCAGTTTCAGAAAATACATTTACAGTTAGGCTTCCTGTCTCCTGACCACACAGATTCCTCAAGTCAGAACCCTGCTTTCCTACATTGATCAGTAGAGACCACCAATGCTCCTGGAGATTCTGCAGTGATTATCTTTTCTGTTGGACTTGTAACTTCCAGGGGTTAGTAAACGAGACTGTTTTCCCCACCCCTGCGTTCCCCATATAGAGCACAGTTCAGGCACAAAAGGAATTCAGTAAATATGTACCAAATGGGTCAAAACTGAAAATTGATGGAGTACAATCACCCTCTTAAACAAAATCTAACTGGTGATAGTTATAAGACCAATCACTGGTTGGACCCTATGTCACAACAAACGACAACCAGTAACACCATACCCCATGTGTCTCACTCATCAGTTTTTCCCCACTCTCAGGAGCTTCCTGTCTATAACCTCTATCCTCAACATAGTCCTTCCTTTATAAGACCTTTCATAAATGAGAAGGGTAGATAAGTAGGTAACACCTATGTACATTTGGTGCATTTAGCTTTTAAATCAAAGACAATAAGTAACTTAGTTCTATTTCTTTGTATGTAATTACCTAGTCTCCTTTACATTCCTACTTGATTCTTAAGACAGAATTATGTTCCTGTTCATGTAACACCCTAGATTACTGGGAAGCACAACTATTTTATTTATTCCAGCCTTCTTTTTTGATGATCAGTATAATAATCAGTGAATAGCAGTACTAGGATTTTATCATTCTTTTAAGGGAATTTCATCTAAAATGAAAGTGATATATAATTTATATAAATGCAAAGTACACGCATTTAAGGTAATGAAAGCAATGTTTTTAGGGTAGATTACTCCTGCCATCCTTGAAGTATATACATAGTAAGAGAGACTATCACTTAAAAATATCTACCATAGGGATACTTCTGCTTCCAAAAAGCAGAGGTATTTTCCTGTATTTTTGCTGCTAAATACAAATAAAAATTCTGAACACTACATATAAAACAAATACAAGAAATCACTGACAGTTAGATAGAAGGTAGAGTCCTAGAGACCTTGAGACTCCAGTAAAACAATGAAGTGTTTCCAAGTTGCCTTTTGCCTCATGTGTTCCAGATACAAAGATAAAGAAGCTTGCATCCTAGAAACACACAAAGGCACAGAACTCCCCACCCAAACAGCAGCTCTCTTCAGCGAAAGAACCAAGAGAAGGACAGCCTAGCAAAACAGAAAACTTTCAGACAATAACCACTCCATACCAACTATGCACTACAAAAAAACTGGCTCCACCTGTACTCACATAGTGAAGTTGCTCAGTTGTGTCCGACTTTTTGCGACCCCATGGACCTACCAGGGGCCTATCAGGCCCCTCTGTTCATGGGATTTTCCAGGCAAGGGTACTGGAGTGAGTTGCCACTTCCTTCTCCATAAGCAAAGGCCAAAAAAAGAAACCTAGACTTTACATTTACAAGGCTGTAATAAGGCACCCTGGCAGCACGCCCACCAGCATGTACACAACCAGGACTTTCATCTACACAAGCTGGTACTGAGTCCCGCCCCACTCCCACAGTGTCAGGTGAAAACCAGGTGAAAAGCCTGGATGTCCATCCTCATCTGGCAGCAGTGAGGCCTCTTTCCTTTTCCTGGGATCAGAAAAGGCCTAGTGGAGAATCAGGGCTTTTACTACTGCCCAGCAATAACAACTCCATCCTCACTAGTGTCAGGGGAGACCAAGTAAGGAGCTGGAACTGTTCTCCCCAGTGAGCAGGAGCCCACTCACTCTGGCAATAGAAGCAAGAAGAGAACTTGAACTTCTGCCTCCACCTGGCAGGAACAAGGTACCTCCCCCACATTCCCTGCTGAAGCAGTGTGAATTAAGTCAGCTAAAACAGAAGGTTCACATAAAACCCAGACCTCATAGTATAGTAGCCCACACTTTCAGGTTTCAACCAAAGATCATCTGACCTACCAAAAATCAGGAAGATCTCAAACTGAATTAAAAAAAAAAAATCAATAGATGCTAATCCCAAGATGAAAGGATGTTAGAATTATCTGACAAGAAATTTGATGAAGGCATGATAAAAACACTTTCAATAATTATGAACATGCTTGAAATAAAAAAATTGAAGCTTTATCAAAGAAATATGAAGGAAGCCTCAGTTCAAAAAAAAAAAGAAAGAAAAAGAAGATACATAGGGACCAAATGGAAATTTTGGAACTGAAAAATACTATAACCAAAGCTAAAAGCTCAGTGGATGAGTTAAACAGAATAATGGAGAGCAGAGAGGAAAAAAATCAGTGAAATGAAAGATAAAACAATGGAAATTATCCCACCTGAATGGCAGAAAGAACAGACTAGGAAAAAACAATGAGCAGAACCTCAGGGACCTATGGAACTATAATAAAAGATTGAATATTCCTGTATGACAGTCCTGGAAGGAGAGAAAAAAGAACATGGCGCTGAAACAGTGCTTGAAGAAACAATGTTTTACCAAATTCAAAATTTTATGAAACTTAAATCTACATGTGAGAAGGTGAGCAAACTAAAAACAGGATAAATCCAATGAAATTCACACCAAAACTTCTAATATACTTCAGAAAATCAAAATATGACTCCCCCCTCAAAAAAAAAAAAAATCTTGAAAGCAGCAAGAGAAAAATAACACCTTCCTCTACATGAAAAAACAACTCAAATGATATCAGTTTTCTCAACAGAACCCATGGGATCAAGAAATAGGTCAACATTTTTTAACTACTAAAAGAACTGTCAACCCTAAATCCTGTACCCAGTGATGTTAGTCTTTATGAATGACGGGGGAATAAAAACATTTTCAAAAGGGGAAAGTAAAGAATTTGTTGCCAACAGTTCCATCATAAAAGAATGGCTAATATATTAATAAGGTCTCTGGAAAGAAGAGAAGTGATAAAAGAAGGAACCCTGGAGCCTCAAGAACGAAGAACACAGTAACAAGCAAAACATGGATAGTTGAAAAGACTTTCTCTTGAGTGTCCTAAAAGGAAGAAATAAAACTATCCCTATTTGTAGATAATGTGGGTTGTCTAACATAGAAAATGCTAAGGAATCTACCAAGAAACCCCTAAGGTCTACAACAATATGGCAAGATAAACAAAAATTAGTTGTATTTCTGTACATTAGCCACAGGCACATGGACACCAGAATTAAAATACAATAAAATTTACAATGGTTTTTTTAATAAAAAGAAATAGTGTAAATCAAAACAAAACACACAGTGGACTTTCATGTTAAAAATTATAGAATGCTCATGAAGGAAATCAAAGGCAATCTAAGTAAATGAAGATATACTGCATTCATGGACTGGAATATTAAACAGAGTAAACATGTCTATTCACCTGAGACTGACATACAGATTTAACACAATTACATAAAAATCCCAGCAATAATTTCTGTAGATCGAGACAAGATTACCTTGAAATTATATGAAAAAGTAAACTAGAAAAGTTAAAATATTTTTTTAAAAAGTACAAAGAAGCAATCTATCCAATTTTAAGAGTTATTATTTCAACATAGTATTACATTTGTGCAGTATTGATGAAACCCAGGATTAGATCAACACAAATAAGCTTACTGACAAAAATACAAAAGCAATTCAATGAAAGAAAGATGATCTTTTTAATAAATGGTGCTGAAGCAACTAAACACAAATAGACAAAAAGAATCTTGATCTAAATCTCACGCCTAGAAAAATTACTTGAATTGGACACTATGGGATTTAAGTGTAAAACTACAGAACTTTCAGGAATTCACTGGCAGTCCAGTAGTTAGGACTCTGCAGTCTCAATGCTGAGGGCCTGGGTTCAATCCCTAGTCAGGGAACTATTAATAAAATCCCACAAGCTGCCGTGCAGCACAGGCAAGCAAATAAAAATAGATAAAACTATAAAACTTTCAGGAAAAAATAGGTACTTAAGGCAAAGCAAAGAGTTATTAGACTTGGAAGTCAAAAGCATATTTCACAAAAGAAAAAAGTCAGTAAGTAAGATTTCATCAAAATGAAAAAACTTTTGCTCTCTGAAAGATCCTGTTAAAAGCATGAACACACAAGCTACAGATTGGGAGAAAATATTTGCAAGCCACATATCCAACAAAGTACTAGTATCTAGAATGTATAAAGAACTCTCAAAACTCCACAGTAATCAATTAGACCAGGGGCGAAAAAACACAAAGAAACATTTCACTGAAGAAGACACAGTGAAGTCACTCAGTCTTGCCCGACTCTTTACGACCCCATGGACTGTAGCCTACCAGGTTCCTCTATCCATAGGATTTTCCAGGCAAGAATACTGGAGTGGGTTGCCATTTCCTTCTCCAGGAGATCTTCCCTACCCAGGGATTGAACCTGGGTCTCCTGCATTGTAGGCAGACACTTTACCGTCTAAGCCACCACGGAAGAAGATATACAGATGACAAACAAGTACCCGAAAAGATGTTCAAGATCATTAGCCATTAGGGGAATGTACATTAAAACCACCATGAGGTATCACCGAACACTTATCAGAATGGCTAATATAAAAACAGTGACTACAAATGCTGGCACGGATGCAGAAAAACTGGATCACAGGTACACTGGTGATGGAAAGGTAAAACAGTATAGCCACAATGGGTAATAATTTGGCAGTTTCTTAAATAACACACAACTATTATCCAACCCAGCAACTGCAATCCTGAGTATTCATCCCAAAGAAATGAAGATTTTGTGTGTTATATAAAAACTAGTACACAAATGTATACAACAGACTTACTTTTAATAGCCCCAAACTGGAAATAATTCCAGTATCTTTCAACATGTGATTGGTTCAACAAACATTTGTACCCTAGAAAACTACTCAGTCATAAAAAGGAATGAACTACTGATACAATAATCTGAATCAATCTCCAGAGAATTATACCGAGTGTAAATAGCCAATCTCCAAAGGCTACATACTATATGCTCTCATTTATACAGCATTCCTGAAATTTAAAAAATTTAGGAAAAAAAATAAGAGGATTATTAGATTCCAAGGATTAAGAAGGGAGTAGCAGTAGGAAGGAAGTGGATGTAGCTATAAAATGTTAAGATGAGGGATTCCTGTAGGGATGGAAAAATTCTTTATGTCTGTCATAATGTCAATATACTAGTTGTGACATGGCATTATAGTTTTGCAAGATGTTATCATCGGGGGATAGTGAATAAAGGGTACACAGAGATCTGTCCGTATTATGATTACATGTTTTATATTACATTACATGATTTATAAATTATCTAAATATAAAAAGTCTAATTAAAATAAAAAATTTTTAAAGATGTAGGAGTCAAGTATGTAACATGAGGCTGAGAGTAAAAAGTCTAACATCAATGCAAAAATACTGCATCACTAAATATCAATTTGGAGTCTAATCACTTTCTTCAATTACACTCAATTAGCTGTTATACAATTTTAGTTATCATTAACACAAACTAGAAAGCCACTATACTGTTGCACTGCTATTATATTACATGAGGTCCCCTTCAGAAATACCCAAGAGACTGAAAATTCCTTCCTTTCCCTAAACACTTAATTTAAGGACTGGAAGTTAATGAGGCTTCTGAGAATATTAGTACTGGTATCAAAATAGGAATAATTAGTACAAAAAAGGTCATCTTTTCTCCACCACCTCCTTGAAAATCTTGTAGTGTCATGTATTCCTTTCATGTGAATTTTTTTTAAAGTCCTTTAAATTAAAGGCAGTCTCCCAGAGGACTTCCTCATCAATGTGTTATGGCCATCTCAAGAACCAAGGTCTAAAGAACTTTCCTAAACTTCTCTTAGTTGTTTTTGAGGTTTATGGGCCCCTCAGAAAGCAGGGTAGTGATCAGAACGGCAACTCAGTACAGGCCCATAAAGCCTAAGTACAGAATGCCTGGAACATTCAGACATTGATGGTGGGAGTTTAGAACACAGTGTCTTTGCAGATCTATTTGGTAACTTCTTAAAAAGTTGAACATACTTTGACCTTATGACTTAGCAATTCTACTTCAAGCATTTTACCCACAAGAAAGGAAAACATACCCACAAAAAGGCCTGTACACAAAAGCTTACTTTAACCTTATTCATAATGACTCAAACATGGAAATAACAGAAATGTTCATCAATGGGAGAACGGGCAAATTGTGATATAATCACTCAATAAAATATTACTAAGTGATAAAATTATAGATACATGCAAATACATGGAAGAATCCAGTGTGCTTGAGCAGGAAAAGAATCTTTTAAAAAAACTCAAAAATATCTTGATTCTGTAGAATTAGTGTTCCTCAAACAATAATTCAGGACACAGAACCAATTCACTACAAAACTTTCAAGGTAAACTCTCTTAAAGTTGAAAGAATTAAAATGAATTTGATTTGTACCATCAAATCTCTTTATGAATTTTGAGCATGGGGCAAGAAATTTTGTTTTATAATCTATAAGAAATACATACTCACCGACTCTTCCTTTCTTGTGAATATGGCCAGGCATGATGCCAATTTTACATTCTCCAGGCTAAAGGAAAGTAATTCACAGAATCAGAAAAGTGAAAAAAAAAATTTTAACTCCGAGATCATACACACAAATATACTTGGACTGACTCAAAGTTAGTTAGCCTTCAGAGGCTAAAACTGGGCTCATTTCGTTTTGTGCACTCACATTGATGACTCCGGGGCAGTTCGGCCCGACCAGCCTGGTCTTTCCCTGGCGCAGCAGTTTGTGCTTGACCCGCACCATGTCCTGCTGCGGGATACCTTCGGTGATGCACACGACCAGGGGCACTTCCGCCTCGATAGCTTCATCAATTGCAGCAGCAGCAAAGGGAGGCGGGACATAAATGACAGACGCTGTCGCCCCAGTCTGTTCTTTGGCCTGAAACATTAATACAAAGCACTTTACTATAGGTTCAGTCAGACACTTTGTAAAACAAACTCAATACCATGGCTTTAATGATATCATGGGATCAGGAAAGGACATCACCAGGAGACACTGGGATGTCTTCATTCTTCCCATTAACTAGTTCACTCTGCTGTCAGAAAACAGCAGAGTTAAGCGTGGCCTCCTCTTCACCCCACTGGGACCCCCCTCGAAACTGGAAGGTTCTGTGACCTCCCCTTCCTTCAGATGATGTGACAGCATGTCAGCACACATGAAAGCACTGACTGGCGTTTAGGTCCCCTCATTCCTGGGCCACGTTTATTTCTGTTCTTCAGCAAGGCACTTATCACCCATTCAGTACAAAAGGCCTTGCATCTCCTCAGGAGAAAAGGACTAGTGAGCCCCAAACTTCAGAACTCAGCTCTCAAACGTGTTTTTAAAAATATTATCCAACCATGGAACTTCTATGATGGCCCAGTTGTTAAGAATCAGTCTTCCAGTGCAGGGGACTCGGGTCCAATCTCTTCTCAGAGAACTAAGACCCCACATGCCACGGGGCTAGAACTAAGCCCATGTGCTGCAACCTCTGAGCCCACACACCAAAACCACAGAGTCTGCAGGCTGCAACTAAGGCCCAATGCAGCCAAAATAGATTAAAATATTTTAATTAAAAAAATAAAAATAGATCGAAGAATAAACATTATCAAGAGGAAGCAAAATGAAGTGGTTTTATTCCTAGCTGCCAATTTTTACTCTAATACATGCTAACTAGAAATAAGCTAAAATACACATGCGTAAACAGCCACAGAACAAGCATCAGTCATATAAGGTTAAGAGTCTACGCTCCATCACCCCTCACAATGCAAGGCACTTAAAGACCACCACTGTGGCCACTGTTCTGTGATCTTCTATACATTTTGTACATGTATGAATACAGATGTAGCCTTCCACCTACTTCCACATGTGGCCATGACTCTTCTCCTATAATGGAAGCTCCTTGAAGACAGAGATAGTCAGTGTCTCTGACTCTCCAAGAGAGGCAGCACCTATTCTGTGAGAGGTCCTGAGAAAGACTATGCAACCCTGCCTGCTTACCACCCTATCTACAAATCAAGATGTAGAGGCCAAGAAATATTAAATACCTCGCATGAGGTCACAGAGCTAGGAAGTGGCAGAGCCAAGATTCAAACCTAAGGATATCTGATTCCACAGCGTCAGTTCTTTTCAGCTACAGCAGGCTACCTCCCTATAAATGTCAAAATGAAGCTTAATTAAGATATAAATCAAACATTTTAGAAGGCTGAGCGATGAGATTTTAAATGGATACAAATACCAAGCTACAGAACATGCAGGTACAGCTGGAAGGGGCAGAAGTAAAAGACGATGTCTTTGAGAATCATTCCAAACTGACTGCCCATGTTCCCAGAGGTCGAGGAGCTTTCTCTACTGCATCCCTAATAAACAGAGATATCTTGACAGTCACAGATGAACAAGTCAAAGAATGTTGACTTGCCAAGGGTTAAAAATAATTGAAATCAATGTTTTTAAAAATGATGTTCAAAGTGATAATAGGGAAGTGGGCACCAAAGAAAAAAACTAGGTTGGAACGAACAGAAATGAGATCATAGATGTGCAGGTATTTTATAGAAAATATATCCCACGGGTTCCTACCTCTTAAGGATACAAAGACTTTCAGAAGCTGGACTATGACCACAGGGTCTGTGTCGGCAAGTAATACTACATGAAAGGAAACCATTCCACTCACTCAGAAATCTCTTTGTAAGAGCAGAACAGGGGAGAAATAAACAGCATCTGTCAAAGAACTGACATTATCTTCCAAAAATATCTATTTGTATCAAAATGAATAATAAATGAACTGCTAGGAACAAAAACTTTTTTTTAAAAGGAAAGCAAAAAAAAGGCTCATGGCAAAAGTCAAATTTAACTAGGAAGTTTTAAAAAATGCAAAGCAAAACTTTAAATGATTATTCTACAGAATTTATGAATTTTTTACTCTCTAAAGTATGATACACTCAAAACACACATACACATATATACAGTATACCCTATTTTCAAGTTTAAAGTAAAATGAAAATTCCAAATTTGAATATTTGTTTTATCCTTTATCTTAATTTACATTAAGAATTCAAATTACCTCAATTTGAAGTTAGTATTCCAAAAACAGAGTAAATCTATAAATTTGTACTTAAAAAAAAAATGAAATTCTTTAAAACATGCCTTAAAAGTATATTTAAGAGGGGGAGTGCTACATTTTTATTTTTTAATCTCAATACATCAATCCCAAGTACTAAGTTTATTTCTTTGATTTTTTAAAAATTAAATAGCCAAGAACATGTACTACGACTTCTTTCATAATACTATTATTTTTTTACATATTCATGTAAGCGTAGAAAGAGAATGAAGAGTATACACTGAGCTGAAATAAGCTCTCTATGAAGCCAAAATCCAAAAAGTGGAAAACACCACATAAAACTTAACTTTACATCCCTTCATATCATCTGACTTTGTACCATAAGCACGTAAGCTTTATAACAAAGAAAGTTTAGCTTAAAGTAATTCTAAAAGTATTGATAAATCAGCAAGCTGAGGAAGAGATCAGGACTCTGTGAGTTGCCTGTTGGACTCTATTCCACACAGGAACACCACCCACTACTTACTTACTCTGAGCCAGGCTAAGTCTGCCACTGATCAGCTGTGAGGATATGTACAGGACCCTCACCCTCTGTACCTGTCGTATCCTTGTCTTTAAAATAGGGATGCTAACAGCCCCTACCTGGGGACTTGTGGTGAGGCTTGAATGATGCCATGAAGATGAAGCACCTGGCATAGTGCCTGGCAGAGCTCCTACTAACACTGAGTGTTAGGGTCAAGTGTGGATGCTGACATGTGCACTTCTAACAGCCCAGAAGAAGAAATAGGAAGGAAAGAAAAATAAGCCAAATAGAAGCCAAGCCACGGCACTTCTTACCTGAAGAACTGATGTACGCCTACAAGCAAAAATGACCCAGGCTGCGGAGAGTACATCCTAAAGTGACTAAAATGAACCCGATCGTTTTTATGTTTCAAATTTCTCTAGGTTACTGGAATTTTAGAAGGCAAGTGACACTTCCAAAAGGGGCACAGTTAAGATCTTGAGCCAAGGTGTGCTAACTCTTCCCTTGGTTTTTTCTTCTTGCCAAACTCAGGTACCATTAATTACCTCCTTCACGGTGTTAAAGACTGGTAAGCCCAGGTGCGTCTTGCCTCCTTTCCCTGGAGTGGTTCCTCCAACTAGTTTGGTGCCATATTCCAGTGCCTGCTGGCTATGAAAGGTGCCCTGAGAGGGAAAAGCACAAGAGTAGTGAGAAAAGGCTGGCTGGGAAGCCTAAAGGCAATCTTCAGCAACTTGGAAAAGAAAAACAAATATGTTAAGTATCCGTTGTTTGTCGTTGTTGTTCAGTCACTAAGTCATGTCCAACTCTTTTGCAACCCCATGGACTGCAGCACACCGGGCTCCTCTGTCCATGGAATCTCCCAGGCAAGAATACTGGAGTGGGGTATCATCCCCTTCTCCAGGGACCTTCCCAATTCAGGGACTGAACCTACGTCTCCTGCACTGGGAGGATTCTTTACCACTGAGCCACCTGGTAGGAACAGCCATATTTCCAAGCGTCCTCATCAACTTTCTGAACACAGCTTTCAACCTTGAAGTAAAACAGGTCTCTGCAGAGCCAAAATCACTGTTTTGTGTTTTTTTTTTTTTTTACAGGTCTCTTTTCACTCTGCTTTCAAATTTAGCTGGTGATCAGAAACTCCCTGGTGCTGATCTGAAAAGAACACCTCCTTCTCACTGTTCCTCAACCCCTGATGTCCTCACATCCCTCTTCTACTCACCACTCCATTAAAGCAATGATTTCTATCTACTTTGTTCACTGAGAGATGGCACCCAAAGCAGTTACATACAGTAGGCACTCAATAAGTCATTGTTGAAAACCAAGTGGATCTACGCAGTCATTCTACGAGGACCAAAAAATGCTGACTCGACTACTCAAGTTCTGTTAAAGGCATAAAAATTGGGGCTTTCAGAGGGACTTCAGAAATTTCCTGATTTCAAAGTCTTCATTCTTCCAAACAGGAAACCTAATCCCAAGCACATTAACTGACTTATCTAAAAGTCGATGATGGAGTTTTGTAAAGGACCACAGGCCAGTGCTCTCGTTAAAGCAGTACCATTCAAAGTGTTATCTGTAGACTCTTACGGGTGTGCAGTGAGGTAAATGCAAAAAGAGGGGGGAAAGAATGACAAAAAAGAAGAAAAAAGAAAAAAACAAGAAAAATCTAATAAAAAAAATAAGTGAAAATGTCTGCAAATTTTATAGCAATAGGATATTGCTATGACTTACTGTATTCTGTAAAAAGTACTGCTCTGCAATAGACTGGAAATAAAAACACACACCCAAACTGGTCCTTCACTCCAGACAGTTAAAGAAGCACTGGGCTAGACTACTACACTGCTAAATAAATTTAAATGCTCACATTTTTAGTCTTAACGTAGTGCTGAACAGTGATGACATTTCCTATTAATGTCCTTGTTTCTGTTAGTTTTCTCATTATTACCATCCAGTGTACAGTCAAAATAAGAATAGTTTTAGTGGCTCATAACAATGCCTTGGGAAAAAGGCATTGTTGGAATCTGCTCTGAAATACAAATATTCCTCATTCATATGTGCAACAATGTGCACAGTGAAAAAAAAAGAACTAATGAGACAAAATTTACATTTTCTATGGAGATAAAACTCTAAATTTCAGACTTCATCATTCTCTAGAAGCAGAAACTTAACCAACAAATAGACAATTATGGCTCCCAATGACTTTAAAAAACAGTGAACGAGAATCTATTTGCCAGTAACTAAGACAATGAAACCAACCTTGGATTTCAATATTTAGGTAAATCATCATCTAATTTAAGAAGAGACAGTTACAAATAGTGCTTACAGCACAGACAATGGTTCTTTAAAAAAGGGAGACGTTAAAATGTCATGTGCTCTGTTTAGTCACTCAGCTGTGTCTGATTCTTTGCAACTTGCAACACCATGGACTGCAGCTCACTAGGCTCCTCCGTCCATGGGGATTCTCCAGGCAAGAATACTGGAGATGGCTGCCATGCCCTCCTCCAGGGAAAATGTCATAGGGTCGTATAAAGCTTAGCAAATAGAAAAACAACATTCTATATAATAAATTTATGTGTGGAATTTGAGTTAATCAAACATTTAATTATATGCTAATAAAATTAATATATATCCCAAAAGGGACTGAATATGATTTTAATTGGCAGAAGAATGGTAAACTGTATTTCATGAGCATGAAGCTTCAACTTTCTATAAAGGAATGTGTATAAACGTATGTGGAAGTGGTATTCATAAAATATATGGCTCTCAGAATAAGTAAACCAATTTTATCTATGAACAAAATTTCAAGGTTTTGGTTGTTTCTTTTTTCCTTGGCAGTGGCTATTTTTTTAAAATAGTAGAAGAAAGGGAGAAAAAGAACAGTCCACTGCAATTCACATTTCTGTGCCCAGTTATTTCAGAAAAGTCAAAAAGCAGAACATTTCACATGAAACAACTTCGAATCAAAATTCATTTTTTAAAAAAAGAAATAAGTTTAAAGCAATTCCTAAATACTTTAAAAAAAAAAAAGTTATAGAAGTTTGGATATTTGGGTATCCTCCTCTAGATCAGGAGTTGGTAAAGTATGGCCTGAGGGATCTGGCCAGCCACTGGTTTCGTGAATTAAGTTTCACTGGCATACAACCATGTCCACTCACTGACGTATTATCTGTGGCTATTTTTGCTGTTCCAATGCTATGGGGTAGTTGTAACAGAGACTGCATGGCCTACTAAGCCTAAAATGTTTACAATTTGGTCTTTACAGAATAAACTTGCCAATGCTACATCACCAAAATATCACAAAATGAATATTATAGTTCTTTTAATCACAGAAAAATCATTAACTTTAAATTACACAAAAATCATTCATCACTTTTATTCTGCCATGTCTCCCTTAATAACTGAGGAAGGAACACTTTGAGTTAAGGTTAGGGATTATTTTCTAATAGATTTGGTAGCATTCCTTGGTATTTAAAAAAAATCTGCATATCTACTACAGTAGAACTATAAATGTGTACAAATGTTTCAAAGGGCAACTTGGTAGCAGCTGCTAAAATTTTAAATACACAGAACCTTTGACACCCAATTTTACTTTCAGGAATTTATTTAACAGATATATATGTATTCAGTTCAGTTCAGTTCAGTTCAGTCGCTCAGTCGTGTCCGACTCTTTGTGACCCCATGAATCGCAGCACGCCAGGCCTCCCTGTCCATCATCAACTCCCGGAGTTTACTCAAACTCATGCCCATCGAGTCGGTGATGCCATCCAGCCATCTCATCCTCTGTCGTCCCCTTCTCCTCCTGCCCCCAATCCCTCCCAGCATCAGGGTCTTTTCCAATGAGTCAGCTCTTTGCATGAGGTGGCCAAAATATTGGAGTTTCAGCTTCAGCATCAGTCCTTCCAATGAACACCCAGGGCTGATCTCCTTTAGGATGGACTGGGTGGATCTCCTGGCAGTCCAAGGGAGTCTCAAGAGTCTTCTCCAACACCACAGTTCAAAAGCATCAATTTTTTGGCGCTCAGCTTTCTTCACAGTCCAACTCTCACATCTATACATGACCACTGAAAAAACCATAGCCTTGACCAGACGGACCTTTGTTGGCAAAGTAATGTCTCTTCTTTTTAATATGCTATCTAGGTTGGTCATAACTTTCCTTCCAAGGAGTAAGCGTCTTTTAATTTCATGGCTGCAGTCACCATCTGCAGTGATTTTGGAGCCCAAAAAATAAAGTCTGACACTGCTTCCACTGTTTGCCCATCTATTTCCCATGAAGTGATGGGACCAGATGCCATGATCTTAGTTTTCTGAATGTTGAGCTTTAAGCCAACTTTTTCACTCTCCTCTTTCACTTTCATCAAGAGGCTTTTTAGTTCCTCTTCACTTTCGCCGTAAGGGTGGTGTCATCTGTATATCTGAGCTTATTGATACTTCTCCCGGCAATCTTGATTCCAGTTTGTGCTTCTTCCAGCCCAGTGTTTCTCATGATGTGCTCTGCATATAAGTTAAATAAACAGGGTGACAATATACAGCTTTGACGTACTCCTTTTCCTATTGGGAACCAGTCTATTGTTCCACGTCCAGTTCTAACTGTTGTTTCCTGACCTGCATACAGGTTTCTCAAGAGGCAGGTCAGGTGGTCTGGTATCCACATCTCTTTCAGAATTTTCCACAGTTTATTGTGATCCACACAGCCAAAGGCTTTGGCATAGTCAATAAAGCAGAAATAGATGTTTTTCTGGAACTCTCCTGCTTTTTCGATGATCCAGTGGATGTTGGCACTTTGATCTCTGGTTCCTCTGCCTTTTCTAAAACCAGCTATATGTATGATATATATTATATACTGTATAATACGTTTTAAATATATATATACACATATACACAGAGAAAGAGAGCACATCCTATAAAATAAACTTTGTAGAATGCCTATTATCTAAGTGTTTTATATGAGTAAGAAAAGTATCTAGAAGGATACATGTTAACTTGTTATCAGAAAGATTTCCAGGGGAGTAGAATGGTAGAAAGGAGAGAAAGGAGAGTCTTAGGTCACACTTTAATGTAGAATCACATCACAGATATATTTAAACTTACGCAAATTATATGATGTAGGCAGAGGATAGGGAGACAGCAAGGCCTAAACACAAGCCATCTACCTTGGTGTTGTTGTTCGGTCGCTAAGTCATGTCTCTTTGTGACCCCATGGACTATAGGACTCCTGGCTTCCCTGTCCTCCACTATCTCCCAGAGTTTGCTCAAGTTCATGTCCATCTACCTTACTGAGTGCTTAATTAAAAAAAAAAAAAGAAAGAAACAGTGACCTGTTCCAATGTTGGAGAAAAACCAGTTGTGTTATACTTGCTGAAAGAAAACATGTGGGTTTCCAACAAAATACTATACTCCTAGGGAGGGATTTTCGAGGTAACAAATACAATTTTTACCTGACTACAGCACCTAACCCCCTCCTGAGATACAATCCCACTGCTGTAGTGTACACCTTTCTGCTACAAACATGTATTATTACTTTTGTGATATTAAAAAAAAAAACAAAAAACGGACAATACTTCAATATTTCTGTATCTCTAATATACATTTAAAAAAACAAAAATCTTAATACACATACCTGCTTACCAGTGAAACCCTGGCAAATAATCTTTGTATTTTTATCAACATAGAGATGCTTCCTGGAAGCTGTATAAGAGCAATGCCGAATTCCATTCTGTTGCACTGAAAAGTAAAGAAAATATGACACATTACAATTTTTTCCAAACTTTTGGACTATGGACTTAACCTAGTGACAAAAAAAAAAAAAATCCTCTATAAAGAGGAAGCTATCGTGTGATGGTATCAGCTTTCAATGTCACTTTTTAAGTAAGACATATTAAATATAAAAATTGATTAAAGAAACAAAAAAGAGACACTGTTCTGTTCTTCAGAATCCCCTTTCTACTGACAACCCCAATCTTGTAGCATTTTCTGAATGAAGAAAGGAGAGGTTAAGTTCATAATTTTTATTCCTCAGAAAGCAATCCAGTGCTCAGATATATAGCTCAAATTAAAAATGAGGTATCACTCTAATACTCTTTACTAAACAGCCATATGCTTTCCCTATTTGACCCCCCATTTTTGGTCAACATGGGTCAACCCCCCATGTTGACCCCCGAACATCTCTAAACAAAAGATGAACTAACAGGCCAGCTTTGGCAGAACTACTAAGAGCTACTCTGCAACTCATTCCCTGGTAATAATATTAACATTAAATGTTAAGTCATAGAATAAGGGCTTCCCTTGTGGCTCAGCTGGTAAAGAAACTGCCTGCAATGCAGGAGGCCTGGGTTTGATCCCTAGGTTGGGAAGACCACCGAGAGAAGGGAAAGGCTACCCACTCAAGTATCCTGACCTGGAGAATTCCATGGACTGTATAGTCCATGGGGTCACAAAGGGTCAAACATGACTGATCGACTTTCACTTTCATAGGATAAAACGTGTCTAAAACATAATCCAAAAATTACTTAAACCTGGTCTCTTCTGATGTAAGACTGAAGAACTCACATCTAAAAGAAATTGGGAAAATAAATAGGAAAAGGAGATGAGGGAGAAACATGTAGAAAACACCTGAGTTATTTTCACCAACTTACACCTCAGTGAAACTGAGAAACCTAAGTAGCTCCCAGAGCCAGCTCGCTGTATTTCAAAAATTAGTAGGAAGCAGCACAGATGAATTAAAAATTGTGGGCTATCTTCTAAATCCCCACCAGGGCCCCAAAATGCTGTCTCCGTGGCCCATCCTGGCCCTTTTGAATTGCTAGCACCTACCACTGAGGTAGCCCATGAAAGTCAGGTCTAGAAAAGGACATCTATCTCATCATAAATTTGTCCAGAGTCGACTCAACACTTTTTGTCCTGAATCACAGCTCATATCCTCCTAAGCCCTCAGACGTCAGATTCCACAACTGATCTATTTCTGGCCCTTTTGAGCACCCCTTGATTCGTCTTCACTGACCTCACATGTAGCCCATCAGGCTCCTCTGTCCATGGGATTTCCCAGGCAAGAATACTGGAGTGGCTTTCTATGCCCTCCTCCAGAGGATCTTCCTGACCCAGGGATCAAACCTGTGTCTCCTGCATCGGCAGGCAGATTCTTTACCACTGAGCCGACTGGGAAGCCCACACTGACCTCAGCTTCCAACAACTTTGAATTTTGGAGCCCCCTGAATCTCGAGGGAAGAGAGAGGGCTGGAATTCGCCGTGACCAACCCGGAGAGAAGTATTCAGTATGCACACAGATGAGCTGCATTCTTGGACTAGACTAAGCTGAACAAGGGGCCCCGAGGAGCGCTGACAGTCAGTCCTGGCCCAGTGAGCATGGCTAAGCACCTGAACCCGGGCAGTGAACAGGAACTGTGGCCTGACAGCCCTCCCTCACCAGTGCTTGCCCTTGGTTCCCCATGCTCCCAGCTGGAGACGCAGAACCACAACACTCGTATTAGAGCTTTCCTCCCCTCTGCTATGCCTGGCAGTACTTGCCCAACAGTCCCTCCCACTCCTGGAATATTCAACACACAGCCCATCTGTCAGGAGTTTCCAGTGAGGTAAAGTACAAGATCTGATTACAAGAGCAAATAAGACAAGGATATCTGGAGCCCACACTTGCTTTCCGAAGGTACAGTTTTGTCCTCTACAAGTACTTTTACACTCCACCTTAACAAAGCCTACAGCAGACAGTTCACTTCTTCCATGGAGCAGGAGTGGCCCTGTCACCCTGAGAAAGGACAGGTCTGCCTACATCTGTAAAGCACGGCTTCAATATCAGTACAACTCTGATCATGACCCTCTCCTACTTCTTCTTCTACTCCAAATCTCTAAGATCAGCTTTATGGAGCCCAAGAATTCACACCACCAGACCTCTGGTGCTTATAAAAACTACATCTGCACGTGTGATGAACAGCAGCTCACCTCCCAGATAACCTCGGGGCCCTTTAGCATTGCTCAGCCTATGTGATGACCCTACCATTCTACAGCATCTAGAGAAGTGGATCTTGGGAGATCTATCATGTACATGTAGGTACACGAACTCTCCCCTTCCACTGTATGAGCTGATACCAAGGCTTCAGGTAAGCTGGAACCAACAGACTATTGTCACCTTTGAGCCAACCCCAAAGTACATGTTCAAAGATAAGGAAATGAAATTCTGACCACAATCTGTCCCAACAAGAAACCTGTACATGCCAGACAAGGTATCACTCATACTGAAATGAGAGGAAGCAAGAATAATCAAGCACTTATGAAACTCAAAGGAAAACCTTGTGTTGCCCATGGTGTTCCATAATCATCAAAAACGCCTTTTTAAGTTGAGAAAACAGAAGACGAATCTGCCCCCTTCTCTGGCCCTTTACACCAGTCGCACTCACCCAACTGCCAGTTGTAAGGAGGATCCCAGACTTCCGCCACCCCAAGCCACAATGACACAGGTAAAGACAGGTGGCTCTATTTAAGGCAGAATCATAAGCAAATCAATGATAAATCTTACCACTGGTGACATCAGAGAATCAAGGAAATTCTTCTGCTTTTGCCATTTGTTTGCATTCTGATGGACATAATGCAAAATATACTTATATTCCTAGTAAATGTCACCAAATTTTAAGTTACATACGTCATTTTCCCTGGAGAACCCACTCCAGTATTCTTACCTGGGAAATCCCATGGACAGAGGATCCTGGCAGGCTACCATCCATGGGATCGCAAAAGAGTCAGACATGACTTAGGAACTGAACAACGATGTTATTTTCCTAATTCTTCCCCACCATAGACAGTCCAAGTTCAGAATCACAGGCTGCAAACTCCCCAAGGAAAGCAGCTTCTCCTTTTCCTCACCACTACTATACCTCTTCACCTTTCCTCCCAACAATTCCACAGTTCTCTAATTTGGACTAGTAGAGAGTGCAAGCTACCAGCTGCTAGAAACATTAAACCTGTCAGACTAGTCATTTTCTTTCCCTACTTGATTTCTTCTCCGTCCAAATTATCAATCAAATGTCCTAAGTAATGACAATTTAAAAAGAAAAAGTTTATTCTATTTCTGCTGTCTTCGATGGTCTGTCCATTGCTTCAAGAGGCCTAATCATATTTTGGTTTTAAATACAAACCTGATCTCTAAAACAGAGTACCCTATTTCCTGAAAATAAATCTAGAACATAGAGCATACTTTAGTCAAACCATCTGACAAGTATTTCTCACCTTTCAGCGAGTCAATGTACTCATTCTCCTGAGAATTTCACATGCAATGACTCATGTAAGTTCACGTTTAAATAAAATGTCATGTGGTGAGGAACCTGAATTTTTACATGACATTTGTGACTTGTGAATACAATGGGGTGTTTAGAGGGGATCTGAGATTAGAAAGAATGGAAACAAAATACTTTCATGTGGTGTCTAATTATAAGCACCACACCTGCAGGCTAAAGGGTGCACACATTTTGTTAATTTTACTTAGAAATAATGCAGTAAAGAAAAGTATTTCTGGCTACATTTCTTTTGGGGCTTTCCAAGTAGCACAGTGGTAAAGAATCCACCTGCCAATGCAGGAGAAACAGGAGATGTGGGTTCAAATTCTGAGTCAGGAAGAGCCCCTGGAGTAAGAAATAGCAACCCACTCCAGTATTCTTGCCTGGAAAACTCCATGGACAGAGGAGCCTGGCAGACTACAATCCTTGGGTTGCAAAGAGTCGGACACGACTGAGTGACTGAGCACACGCACAAGTTTTTTTTTAGTATCATCTAAATATTTTCAGAACTTCTAACTGTAAATTCCATGAGTATAAGGACCATGGCTTGTACCTGGCATCTCCCATGGCATATGGTACAGGGCTGTACAAAGCACATGTACAGGAAATATTTTAATTTCAGGACAAGAGATGGGATCTATGAAAAGAAACACATAGAGAACTAAATATCAAAAGTTCCATCTCTTTTTGTGTGAACTGGAAAAATGTCAATCCATTACCAGGAAAAGAGGGGGAAAAAATCCTGTATCTAACTTTGTACATGCAAAGATCATTGCTTTCCCAATAATTTGCATAAAAAATCCAGTCCTAAATACTACTAGCAGTCCTCAATGCTGCTACAATCTAGTACAAATTCCATGCTAAGCAGTTTTGTTTTTAACAAATGAAATCCAGGAAGCAGTAATGTAATACAAATTGACTATTCTACTACAGGAGAAAAGAAAAATCCTAAAGCAAAACATAGCACAGGCAGAGTTAAAGGCAATGACCCACCAGAGTGGTTTCGTAACATGTGACAGGCAAGGAGGAAGATCACAGCAACCTGAGCAACCCAGGTGCCAAGAGGAAGGAGGGGATGAAAGCCCAACAGAAAAATGGACAAAGGCCATAAACAAGAAACACAACTGGTGATAAGCAAATCATAAATCAACCTATGAGAAGATAATGACTCAACTAATATTATGGAAGTATTTTTAATTAAATATTAGGGCAGCAGGAAGGCCTGAAGTTGGCCCCCAGGCAGAATCTCCCAGTGGTGAAGGCCTTGGGACATCTCCAGGCAATGTGGTGGAGTCGCCTTCTCTCCAGGTTCTCAGAAATGGGCCAACCTAACCTTGGGACTGCCTCTCAGAGCAGCTGAAAAGCAGAAGCAGGAATCAGACAGGCCTGGGCTTGAATTTATGGCCTGCCGCTCACCAACTCGGTGACCTGAGGCAGGTCTTT